CGCGGTAGCAGGCTCCGCTCCCGCGCCGAGTGCGCGCCGCCCGGCGGGCAGTTAGAGGTTAAATGCCGAGACGTGCCCTGTCTAGGCAGGCGGTGAAAGCTGGGCGACTGGGAGGCGGGGAGCCCTCGAGGGTAACAAGTGGGCGGGCAAAATTCGGCGGCCTCGTGATGGTGGCTTTTATTTATCTCCCCCCCATCGACGCCTGCGCACTGGCCTCTACGTCCGGAGCCAGACCTCCAGTCTCCTACTGTTGCCTAGTCGCTCTTTGCCCGCCTCCAGGCTCACACCATCAGCCCAATCACGCCCGCTACAGTTTCAGAGCCCAAGAGGCTACGGGGATTGGCTGTAGCCGAAGAAAGGGCTGTGATCCTATTTGGAGTTAGAGCTGCCTCAAGAAATCCAGCTGGAACTGGTCTGAGGTGAAGAGGTGGGTGCGGGGAGGGTTTTGAGCGTCTGGCGGGAAAGCTGGTGGTCAGGCTTCCTCGCAGCGGTTCTTTATTGTCTAAAGTAGACCATGTGCTCTTTGCTCGCGCGTTTCAACTAATCCCTGTTATATAGCTGATGTGTCTATCGGTGGGCTAGGGCCAGAGGAGACTGACCCGGGAGCAGCAGCTTCATCTGCAGGGTCTGGCGAGGGATGGAGAAACCGAGCTCTTAGGGCCACGGGGCCGGACTGCAGGTCCTTAACCCTTCTAGGGGTAGGAAGCGCGGGCTCATCCCTTCCCTCTGCGGCGCCATTCAGGAGAGGCTAAGAGTCGGACCTGGGCGGAGCTCGGCGGGATGGGGCAGTTGTGTTGAAAAACTAAATAAGACCCAGGCTTAAAGTTAAAAATGAGAGTGCTTTGAACTTTATCCTATGGGCAGCAGTTCTCTGCGGGCTCCAAGTGGGAAGGCTGCGAGTTGAAAGCCGTGTTTGGTGTCAATTGATCTGGCTTTGGAACGTTGGCCAGGCTGGGAGGAGGAAGGGGAGCTGTCAGAAGCTGTTGAGATGATAAGGGTCCGGCACAGGGTGAGAGATGGCAAGAAAAGCAAAGGAGAAGAATCAAATGGCAGAGCACGTCTTAGAGTTAAATCCTCCTGCTCTGTAAATCTCCTTTTGCCTTGGCACCCTCGGGCTTCTTTTGTAGTCCTGTCACTATCAGTGAGTATCATTTGGACTTTGGGCAGATTACTTCATCTTTCTAGGCCTCCGATTTCTCCTCTGTAAAATGAACTAGAGTAATAAGAGCTGCTAGCAAGTTCCAGTTGATTTTGCAAATCTCGTGATTCTTTAGTCGCCAGCACCAATATTCATTAACAGGTCCGCCGTGTGTGTGTGTGTGTGTGTGTGTGTGTGTGTGTGTGCGCGCGCGTGCGCCCGGTAGTATATTTGGCTGGGAATATGCCCAAGTTAAACTGATAGGTGTTT